TTAATTGGCAGAGTTCTGCTGTATTGAAGTTTGCTTTTGTAGGTCATTAATATGAAATTAGATAAACACTGAAAGGCACTTCTTTACTGATAATACGTCACACCATTAGCATCATATTTATTGTCCCGGAGGGCCTGGAGACTATCCCAGCTGTCTTAGGGTGAGAAGCAGGGTACACCCTAGACAGGTCGCCAGTCTTTCACAGGGCATGAATCTGATCACTAACAGGACAGCTACAAACAGGTTGTAGCTGTGCAAAAGAAGCTCAGCTGACAGCTGCCTGCTGAGTTGACAAAGAGTGAATAGTGATGAAGCTTTGTTTTGTCTGTATGTGATTCAATTAGCGGTCTCTATTATACCCTCACTGGCTTGCTGAGTGGAAAAGATGTTTAAATGCATGCCACCAGATGGCACTGTTCTTCCTGTGGTGCTCCTGTGAGGGAATGGATGCTGGGAAACTGTGCAGAGACAGTCCTTAACATTATTCTACCTTTTAAAGTACTGGAATATGGATATTTATTGAGTCTCAAAAGCTCTTTTTTATATGGATGATGAATGATTTTCTCTCTTCCTCTTAGTTACACATGAATTAGCTTTCTTTTTGAAGGCTTGAATGATGCATTTCAGTCACAGTGATGCCCTCTGCACACAAACTAAAGCATCTTTACAAAAACACAGTCAGACAGGCTGAAACCACAAAATTACAAGTTCTGCTTTGGGTAAAATTATGCCAATATTACCTTTACATAATGACAATTGTGGCTTTGTTTACGTTTTTGGTTGTAAGTTAGGAGACTTCTTGTGATGGCTGACAGGATTGGGATGAAGTGTGGACATTTACCTAGAATTCTTTAACAAAAGTTTAAGAATTCATTAAAAATACTAGATTTAAGAAATAATTAGGTTGTTCCTGATATCATAGAAAATAAATCTCTTTTTCTCCCCCGGTAATGGAACATTTAGGATCAGTAATCTGAGCAAGAATGACAGTGGTAAATATTAGTGTAAAATATTTTATTCAGTTAGAAAATCATCAGTCAAGTTTAACATTTAAATTAAACACTGTTCTTTTAAAAAAAAATATATATATATGATACATCTCACACAATACCAGATATGTGTATTTTGCACTTTCGTGCTTCATTCATTAACGACTATAAAGAAATCAGATCAAAAGTCATCTGGGTGTGTTTGTCTCAGCTCAGGGTACAGGATGATTGTACTGTGGGAACACCAAGCGGCAGAATAGTCATTCGAAAGTGGGACACAAATATTTTGGTGACAAAACAAATATAAGATCCAATAGATGTACTGATGTTCTGTTGTGATAGAGAAGTGGAGTGAAAGTAAAGGAGATCCATATATATGAGCTTTGATGGTTTGTATTTGAATCACCTGAAGCATCTTGACATACCATCTCACTCTGTTGTGCAGTATGTATAAAAGCACTGATCACTTAAATCATCTGATTTTTGAACATTGGCATACAAACAGTCATCTTCTGTAGGTTCAGTGTACAGAGGTCGCTTTGAAAACTTGACTTGGCCATACTCCACCTCCTCCTCAGATGTTTGCTCCATTTCCTTCTCCCGGTGTTTCATGACCCTGACATCAGCGTAGGTTACTTCCTCATCATCTTCTTCATCTATATTGTAGCAAGAAGGAGTAACACAAACATAGTATTACAGTGACTGAGTGGTTTGACTTTTCACAAAACCTTTTTTTTATAAGATTTAAACAAAAATGCTCAGTCCTGTTTCCTCACATTTCTCGTTACTGTATTAAAGCCAGCTGATAAATGATGCACTCAAATTTTACTGACATATGACAGAATTATAAAGTTTTGGCAGTAAATCAAAAAATGTAGAGGTAGATGCTGGTGAGAAACAATATTTGTGTGTATTTCTGTAAATACCATCAAAATGATAATAAACCTTCTCGAATCTTAGCAAAAATGTAAAAAGGCAGTCTGAGCTACATGAGTAAGAAAAACAGGGATTTTTGTACCTTTTTGTTTTGTAGGTTTGTTGTTTTGCTTTTTTCTCTGAGCCCAGATGACTGCTACGCCCACAACTAATAAAATTAGGAGCGCTAAGAGAACAGCACTGATCGGTGACAAAATACCTGTTTTAACAGGACACAAAACCAAACCATTCAGAAAACACCTTTTTTTTAATTAAGAAAGAACAAATTAGAAAAGAACATTAACGGATCTACTGTAGTTGAATTAATTTTCACTTACTAATGTACCACAGCTGAGCACTGCTGAGGATATCATTCGGGTTTTCAATTGGCACTCTGTCAGTCCCTTCAGTCACAGCACTTTGCGTGATCATTTTAGGGTCTCGTGTTGGTTGTGTTGTTGGTTTAATACACAGGGTTTTATTGGCTTCATGCACCCACCCTGATATCTGTGTCCCATTGACAGAAGTGCAGTTAATGAAAATGAAACCTGAGAGCAAAAACAGATTATGTGTGTAAGACAAAGTGACCAAATGATCATATTTGTGATTATCACAATGATCTCACTCACCACAGGTAGATATCCTCTCCTCTTTGGAGACATTACTGATGCTGTTCCTGACTGAGCAGACCAGATGTCCTGAGACGTGCTGTTTCAGAGTGATGATGTTAGTCTCATTATTTCCAGAAAGGAGCTCAGCATCTGTCAGTGTGCGTCCATCCAGAGTCCAGCTGTACTGAGGACTGTCCCCTCCCTCAGAGGAACAGGACACACTCCTCTCTCCCTGGGACAGACACTCAGAGAGCAGCAGGACAGAGGACACAGGAGCTAAGAGAAAGAGACACAGATGAGCTTTGGTAGTATAACAGGATCCTTGTCATTCCTTATTATTATAATTGAAGAACATACATACTTCTAAAATGCTATTACATGTATATCTATCAATAGCCTTAATTTCCGAGCAGGGAAAATAATTACCTTGAATAAACAACTGTAAAGTCCGCTTGCCTGTTGATCTTGCATCTGAATCAAAGGTTTGAAGGGTATAATTACCACTGTCATTGCTGCTCAAGTTATTGATCCTAAATGTTCCATTAATGTGGAAAATGAGAGATCTGTGTCCTATGGTATTAGACAGAACTTGTTTGTCTGACACATATAGTAGTACTAATGAATTCTTTAAATATTTGTATTTATGTATTTCTGAGGTTCCATTCATCAGCTGTATGTCTACACTTCCTCCCAAAACTCCAAAACACTGAGCTCCATCCTGTCTGCCATCACAGTGAGTTTCCACACCTGCAAAAGAGAAAAAAAAATTAAAGTCAAGAAAATAAAAAAAATAATATCACAGTTTTGAGAGCTCAGTTTGTGTTAGAAGGTTAACATTTGCATCTGCAGCATGCGAATGTTAACCTAAATCAAAAATAGCACTTTTGTGGCTACTGTGTGTCTGTCTCAGTTCACAGTATGCAAATCATTTAGTATTTGCAGATGCATTACACAGGTTTGTCACTGAAAGAGAGTGAGGTTTCAGCTGATATTTCTTTTGTAGAACAGCTGCTGTAGCTTCAGTATTCTGCTGTCCATGTTTTAAATGCTGCAATTCGTCTGTGCCTTTTTACAACAAAAGAAAAGAAACGAAAAAGAAAAAAAGCTCAGTAATTATAAAATTGTTGTTTATGAAAAAGTTGTCACCTTAGTTTGTGAAGAAGACCCTAATAATTTTAAAATCATTCAAAATACCTAATATTAAAATGAGCGTTTTTGCCAGCATAGTGCTATGTCCAATCTACTTTTTTATATGTATTTTTATATTTAAATAATATTTAATCAGTTCATCTGCGTTTACTTTACTTAAACAATAATGCAACTGTTAATGTGTTTAACAAGCCCTCAACTGAAAAAAAATCACATTTCATTAGCTGTAGTGGATCCCGTAGGCACAAAACTTGAATAAAACATAGAAGTTAACATTGAGGCACCACATGGAAAAAGTTTAGTAGCTCACCATGAGAGACTCCGAGCAACATCAAGAACAGTTTAAATACAACTTCCATGTTCTACATTTTTATCTCTTTATGTCTCTAAAACAAGCGTGAACAGGTCTCGATATATCCTGTTAGTGATCAGCCTCAGAGGAGAACGTGTGAAACCGTTGAGGTGAGGTTTTACTGAAGTTAAAATTATCTTTTCACATGCTGAGAGGAAGAAAGAAAGAGGTATCAGTTTTTCTTCCTCTTTAAAAGATAATTCAGATGTGATGGACTGAGAGGAAGAGAGGGAACAATTTGTCATTCACGCTAAACAAGGTTTGATTAAGACAAAAAGTAGTCAAGTGTTAACAGAAAAATAAATATTTACAGAAATAAGTTTACATGAGAGAATAATCATAAGCTACATCTTGTAAAATACAGTTAAACCAAACTGGGTTTGAGTGTTTACTATTTGATTTTAACCTAAACATCAAAGTAATACTACTACTACTATGTCAGAACTATTTCTTTAACTACTGGCAGCCCCTAGTGGTAAAGAAGTTTCTTGTTGTTACAGCATTAACTTCCACTGGATATAAGGGGCCGAGCTGAACTCCTAACAAACAACCAAAAATCACAATTCCCCCTCCGCCAAACGTTACACTTGGCACATTGCAGTCAGACAAGTAGAGTTCTCCAAACCCATACTAATCCATTGGATTGCCAGATGAAGAAAGGTGGTTCGTTACTCCAGAGAACATGTCTAATGCTCTAGAATATAGTGGCACCGTGCTTTAAACCACTTCATCCGACTGCTTTCATCGTGTTTGGTGATGTAAGGCTTGGATGCACCTGCTCAATCATGGAAACCCATTTTATGAAGCTCTCTATGCTATTGGAAGGTCACACAAAGTTTGGAGGTCTGTAACAAAAGACTCTGCAGAAAGTTGGTGACCTGTGCACACTGTGCACCTGATGAACCTGTGCTGTGATTTCACATGAAATACCATTTTGTGGCTGAGTTGCTGTCATTCCCAATCACCTGGACTTTTTTAAAACAGCTGACTGTAGAATATTTACTAGTGAGAAAATTTTATGACTGGACTTGAAAATTGGCATACTAGTACGATACCACGCTGAAATTTACTGAGCTCCTAACAGTGATCAATCCTTTCACAAATTTTTATACAAGCAGTCTGTATACCTAGGTGCTTGATTTCATACACCTGTGGCCATGAAAGTGATTGTATCTTCTGGATTCAATGATTTTAGTGGGTGAGTGAAAACATTTGGCAATATATCCTTCAAGCTTAGGCCTCTACCAGAAACCTGGGAGTTTTGAGCATCCTGTGAAGTATCTTTGCTGTTCCTACAACTGTGCTCATTTGCTAATCTCAGATGACTATCCAGGAATGACATCGTGATCCCCTAACTGGCTGTCACCTTCCGCATCTTCCACCTTCCCCATCTTCTTCACCTTCCACATCTTCTCTAGCCCTTGGTATTAATTTAATTTATTATTTTATCTTGTGTTCTGATCCTTCTGATCTTTCTATAGCTTGGTTTTGCTACATCTATCACTACGGCCGCCTTCTTCTTACAGGATGCCCAACACTACAGTGTCTGATTGGTTAGCCATCACCAGTTTGTCTGTCTGTAAAGACATCACACGGGATCTTAGCTTGGTCATTGTCAACAACTTATGATGGCATATACCATTTTGACCTCCAGGCCATACTCAGGATAGATATTTCAGTACCCTGTGCCAGGCACTATGTCATGGCGTATCTCCAACCTTGGTGAGCCTGTTCTAATACTGAGTCTCATTTATTAGTATCTCTGTGGAAACATTCTTACTGTACTCGAAAAATGACAACTTCACAGTAGTCAGATACCTTCAACATGTATCATCACAGTGTCCATTCATACATCATTAAAATCTGAAAATGCTTTTTCAGATGTTTTGTTTGTGAAACTGATGGTTTTAATGTTAATATATATCCATGTCATTTTCAGTATCCACAAAAAGGCACCACATGTGTACAGGTTGTAATAAAATACGTTTATACAGTGCTGTTGATTCACACTTTTCTGAACTCATGCTTTTTCCTCACACTTTACTTTACTTAATTCATTAGAAATAGATGGAGGTGTGAAATGCATGTGTACATATTTGTTACTAAATATGGAAATGCTTTTCAGTAT